CTTGGAAGGGTGCTGGCGCAGCCAGCAAGCCTTCCTGCAACAGGCGTCCTCCCTCGGTCGTGTATCGTGCGGAATTGTCTGCGTTGCAGTCCGCAATGGGGTTTCTTTGTCTATGGGACTTTGCCGATGCCGTGTCCAGGCCGCCCACACGTCCCCTTTCCCTCGCTTGTGGCCACGTAGGTTGGAGGGTTCTCCGTCGCCAACTTCTTAACGGACGTGCGGTAGGCTGACTGTGAGCTACGTCAGGCCGAAGTAGAACGTCACGTTGCGCAACAATTACTTTCCGATGAAGTTTCGGTCAGGGTCGACGCGCAAGTCTCAAGATGCGAGGCCTCGGCGACATGGTCTTCGAACGATATACGAAACGGCAAGCCTAGATCGATATGGGTAGGTCCTTCTTCGTTTGTCGTTCCGCCTGGTCATCAACTAGGGAAAAGCACAAGTTTCCGTCGTTTCAATACGGTTTCAAGAACTGTGTAGCTGTTCGTTGTGGAATCCTATCGAAAATGATGTCGCGAGTCGCGGCCCCGAAGCATCGAAAGGTTCCACGAGAAGCAGCCAGAGGTTCGAGAGTTCCAAAGCGAGACGACTGATCCGGACTCGTGGGATCGAAGGGGATGGCCTGCGGGAGGGAACCGCAGGTCGATGGTGGCGAGGCTTTGACATGTGCAGACATGTGGTGCGCAGAGACGCCCCACCGGTAAAGGCTGCAAAAGCGGAGATTGCGCAAACTGGGGCCAAACCGATCTCAGGGGCAGCGTTCGAGCAGACGTCCCGAGACCTGCCGAGCGTTCTCCCCTGGTTTCTCGAGGCCATGGAGCGCTTCGCTAGTAAAAGCAAACTCTGTCAGTGTCTTCGAGCTTCCCAAGAGTGCTTCAAGGCCGCCGATGGTCTCGCGTTTGGGAACACAAAGCATAGGGCGCGTTTCGAGCAGAAGTGGATGCTGCGATGATCGAGAGCACGCGAACTGGCGACACGAAAGCACTTCCCAAACGATTGAAGTTCATCGCAGAGATCTCCTCGCTCGCCACTGCTACTCTCCGTCTCTGTCGACTGCTGTTGGCGTTCTGTTCCGGTCCGGCTTCTCGTCACCAGTCCTATCGACAGATCCCGCTAGCAGGGTCCCGCATGCAGGAACACAGTACGGATGCCCATGCGGCAAAAAACGATCGCCTAAAGGAAAACTGGAATCCGGGCCAAGGCACGGCAAAAACTGCTCCCTGCGAGAATTGAACTCGCGTTCCTGCCGCCACAAGGCAGTGTTCTGCCACTAAACTAAGGAAGCGGTTAAGAGTGGGGAAGCGGTTAAGAGTGGGGAGCGAGAGTTAGGACGCTACTTGATGCGTTGCTTTTGCCACAAGGCGACAGTGTCTGCCACTAAACTAAGGAAGCCTTTGGGTTAGGAACGGTTTCTGTACGCCACTTGATGCGTTCCTGTGGTTACATTTACGGCCGTGCGTCTTGGCTGCGTTCGGCAGTCTAAGTAAGCGTCCTTACATTCACGGCCGTTGACTTACAGTTTAATTACTAATACGATTAGAAGTATAACTCAATTAGAAACAGAATAAAGTCGGATATGAAGGCCCCTTGTTGCCGGCCTGCGAGGATGGGACGGTCATCCATCGGATCGTACCTGCGTAACCCGTACTGGTAAGTTGCCTTTGGTTCGGTCGCACTTGGTCACCATGCAGCCCATATGGCATGTGGCTGGCCCCCGCGAGGGACGACAGGCTTGTCGACAACTCTCAAGCTCCCGTACATCCGGTCGCGCCGTACATCCGGTCGCGGCAGACGGTTCGCTGACGCCCTCGCCGATTACTTCCAGGGCGTGGTTCGGCGACTTGCCAGAACGATCTTCTCATACTACCCGCGCGCCATGTCGAAGGTCGATTGGAGAAAATCTCCCTTCTGCGCTCTCTGTTACGTTCGGAGTTTGCGAGCTTGCGAGGAATTCGATTGGCGCAGCGATCTTCTTGACGATCTTTTTTTGGGAGATGACCGTCGACCGCACGGGTTTGTGTACCTGTAGATCACAACGCTCCACGACACATGGGAAAAACTACACGTACGTGTACAGTACGGCACCACATAAAAAATGTACATTCCATCTCCGCTTCCGCTCCTAGAAAGCTATCTGCAACATATCTTCGACACGCCTTATGCTGTTCCCCCCCGGGAACTCCAGGCCGGCATATCCCTGATTTCCATCAGCCATGGCGCTTTATCAATGCACGATCGAGACCTGCACGGTCGCCGAACACGGCAAGGTAAATCTACCCCCCACCAAAGATTACAGTTTTTGCTGGGAAGACATTTGAAATTGACGCAGATCAATGGCAGATCCACTACCTGCCCAACCTTCCAGCCAACATCATCTACCTCGTCATCTTCGCTCTCCTTTTCTTTTTCCACCTGGGTCTGGGGGCACGGTACCGGACGTGGGGGTTCACCATCCCGATCATCATGGGGGCAGCGTGCGAGGTCATCGGATACGGCGGTAGGATCATGGGACGGAGCGATCCGTTCTCGTTGAATCCTTTCCTAGTGGTAACGTCAAATATACCGCAAAAGTGGTAACTCCACTTCGATTTTCATGTCCGGGTGTGTGGGGCTAAATCATCATTTTTCATTCCCCTTCCCAGTATCTGGTCCCCCTCACGATCGGCCCGGCGTTCCTGACCGCGAGCATCTACCTCTGTCTCGGACGTATCGTGACCGTGTACGGGAGGATCCACTCCCGACTCGCTCCCCGTACCTACACGATCGTGTTCGTGACCTTTGACCTCGTGTCGTTGATCCTTCAGTCCATCGGGGGCGCCATGGCGGCTCAGTCCGTGACCCAGGTCCAGTTGGACAACGGCGTCCACGTCATGATGGCGGGTCTCATCTGGCAGGTCGTCAGCATCGTCCTGTTCTTGATCGTTTGGACAGATTTCGTTTTGGCGAGACGGAGGGCGGTGGCGAGGGGGACGGGGAGCGGTGATGGGAACGTTCGGTTCGATGGGTTGATAGGTAGCAAAGGGTTCACGTACTTCCAATGGGGTGAGTGTGACTTCTACTGGCATCAGTTCCTCGACGTACATACTGCTTAGCATCTTACTGACCTCCATCTTCTTCTCTCCTCCCACCACAGCCCTCCTGGCATCGACCCTCCTGATCCTCATTCGCTGCATCTTCCGAGTCTCGGAACTCTCGGGCGGGTTCAACGGCTCGGAAGCCAACAACGAGGTCGAGTTCATGATCCTGGAAGGACCCATGATCTTCATCGCGACGGGTCTCATGGCCGCGTTCCATCCCGGACGTGCCTTCAAGGGACTCTGGGGCGTCACCGGTTGGAGGGGCGGGAACCACAACGTCGGGAGGACCGAGCATCACAGCGGGGACGTCACCGAGGTCGAGGGACGGCAGGAGGACTTTGCGGGAAAAGTTTGATTTCGCGTATCTGATTACATTATTTTTGGGGGATGGACGGTCCTTTGCATTGTCCCTTGATCCAAAAAAAAAGGCCCACCCCGAGCTTCTCCTTTCTATCGACTTGTCACGATACCGCAAGCCTCACACCTCCACTTGTTGCAGTCCTTCCCCGCCGTCTCGGTCAGATCCTTCGCACTGTCCGTCTCCGCCTCCCTCCCGCTCCCCCTCTCCTTCTCCTCCTGGTCGTCGTTGAGCCGATCGTCGAGGGCAGTGGGTACCATCCACCCGAAGCAGTTGTCCCCATCGCAGCACAGATCCGCGAACCGTCGCGTGACGTCCTTTGCCTTCTCCGGATCGAGGTTCCCAGCGTCCATGGAGCATCGCTCGCAGTCGCAGGGGAAGAAGAAGAGGTCTTCGAGACCCTTCGTCCTGGATCTGGAGCAAGCCGAGGGTCGTTTGTCGAGGGGGATGTAGCAGATGAGGGCTTCTTCCCCCCTTTTGATGTCCCTGGTTGCGTAGAACGTGATCTGTTTGGTTGCTGGTCCCGTCTCCCTTCTCCTCCCTCCTTCCCCCTCTTGATCCTTGGACGACGATGCCGTCCTGACGCAGTGACCGACGTTGGGAACGCACGAATGGTTGAAGAAGACGGCACGATGGAAGACGCCCAGAGCGTACGACTGTCTCGTTTCGGACCTTCCGGCGTGGAGGAACGAGTAGAGACCGAATGAGTTGCATTCCTCCTTGCACACCAATGCCAGTACGCTGGCTTGGAGGTCCGTGAGTCGGTTCCCTCGGTCCGGGTCCGCGTGAAGGTCTTGGTCGGTCACGCGCGGTAGGATGTTCCTCGTGGCGGCGGCTTGGGCGTCGGGGAAGAGGACGGGGAGGATGTGATCCGTGACGAGGGTCGTGAGGGATTTGGCGACGAGTTCGAAACGATCCATGATCGCGGACGAAAAATCTTTGGAATTGGAGCAGAGAGCCCACACGTTGGCGAAGGAGTCCCTGTCGTGTGGGTTCTGCGATCCCGCGACCACCGCGACCTCGGGAAACAATCCGTCGTCCATGTCCCTCTTCATCTCCCTCGCTCTCCGGATGACGATCCTCGCGATGCATAGCGTGAAGTCCAACTCGTAAGGTGTGAGATCCAGTCTGTTTGGATATTTCTCCGCGTCCTTCTTGTCCTTCGAAAAGGTCCTGAGCTGCAAGTCGTCGGGTAGGACGGCGGGTTGGTCTCGAAAGAGATGCTTGAGGTACCCGCACTCGAATCTATGGTAGAGGTCGCGATCGAGGGTCGCGCAGGCGTCGGAACAGTATCTGACCTGGTGGCAGTCCTGGCAGAAGACGGACAGTGGGGTATATGGGACTGGTTTGGAGGGAGGAAGGTGGTGAAGAGATTTGGAACGACCGATGCAGTGCGCACAGATCTCGGTCTTGGTCGTACTTTCTGAAGAGGAAGAGACAAGGGCGCGGCCGACCGTTTAAGTTCATCTGGAACACCGCGGGAAATGGGTACGCTTGGTGCAAGACGAACCTGGCACGATGGCGTAAGGACCGCTCGTGAGGACTACGGAGCCTGCCGGGACGTCTCTTGTGAAGACGAAACCGCGACCCTTGGCGGGCAAAGATTGGACCTCGATAGGGAAGCAGGAAGGAGTGGAGATCATTGCTGTATTTGTTCTTGCCGTGTCGGTTTGAACGCTTTCGTACGCCGTCTTCAGGGTAAGGTGGTGGGGTGGGGGTGGAACTGTTGTGTATCTTGTTTTTCTAAAGGCTCTAACGTGTGAGAGGCAGATGGGATTGGGGTGGGAGG